CTTGTTGACACCCCGCACAGCTAGAGGATGCTCCGTTGGCTTTCCTTTGAGGACCCTGAAGGTTTGTGGCAACTGAGCCCCCTGCTCTGCCATGCCCTAACAAAGAGGAATTCGGACATGAGTTGTTGTTTGAATTGCTCTAATACTATCAATTCAGACATAAACATCAACATACATAAAACAAACCCATACACATAATTTTAGATTTGACTAAATACTAAATGGTCTTGTTTTCTAAAACTCTACTTTTCCATATTTATTTTGCAAATCATCAGGAAAGATCCAAACAGAGGAATGTGAATGGAGTGCTGGGTTTGTTTGGGGAGAGGAACAGAAGTGTCAAACCTGTATTTCCTCTTGTTCCTCACCCAGCAGAGTAGCTCCTAATTGAAAAGGCTTAAGCCAAGAGCATAAGTCAGGGGACAGCAAACAAGAAGAAGGATGCTTGGTTGTGTCTGGTTCTGCTCTAGGCTTTACACAGATAGAGAACACAGGGTGGCAGGCCCATTCCAACTTCAGCACTTCAGGGAATACAAATGTAGGGATTTCAAACCAAGAATCCACTTTATACAGCTATTTGAAGCTATTTGAAATTTACTCTGAAATTCAAATGCAAACAGCTCTTTTTCGACCACGAATGCACAGATGTGCACACCAGGTCATTAGTCACTCACTGGTCTTGTGTGGTCATGTCCTGGGGCAGTAAAAGACCCACCTCTCCATCATCCTCATCTTCCTCCATTATTATTGCTAGTGTTTCCGGCCCCTTGGTGTTCAGCTGTGTTCAGGAGCAAAGGAAGACAAGCCAGGAACAGTCAAAGATTAAAATGTGACCAGGTTTCCTTTTATTAAACAAACTTTAAGAAGTTATTTTTTCCATAGCTAATTTTGAAATGATAAAACCTCACTGATTCCAATATATTCAATTAAAATTAAAGATGATTTTTTGACATATGGAAAAGTAAATAAACATTATTATTTATATTCTGGAGTGCTATTTAGAAAAATTAAATACTTCTTTACATCTTATTTTATTTTTTTAAACATTTTTTTAAAGTTGTTGATGAACCCTTATTTTATTTATTTGTATGTGGTGCTGAGAATCAAACTCAGTGCCTCATGCATGCCAGGCAAGCACACTACCACTGAGCCACAACCCCAGCCCTTCCTCTTATTTTAGAAATTAAAAAAATGAAAAACAGATTTCTTTTGATAACAATAATTAGAGCAAGACCTATAAGAAATATATCATCAACTTACTGCAGGTGTTCCAGAAGGTAAGCAATCCTTCTCTGAAAATTAAAGGGAAAGGAATGTTAACAATTTACCACAGACCATTTCTATGACAAAAAGAAAAATAATATAAAAGAGGAGCATGTGAAATGTGTTAAAACCAATTTCATTTTAGGTAGAATTACTTCTCTAGAAATATGATAGTAATAGTAACTTAAAAATAAAATTTATATGACCTAGCTACTAACTCTTTAATCTTAATGAAAGCTTAAAAATACATTTTGAAAAACCTGAGTTGATCATTCAAATGACTGTATTTCATGGTATGTAAATTATACTTCAATCAAGTTATTAAAATGTAATGGAGTCC